CATACTTCTAACATATTTTGAAAATCAGACACATTAGATTATCCATTATTAGCTTTAATCAAAGTAATTAGGACCAGTTCTTACTACATGCTGTGTAAGCCTGCAATCAAACATCCTTAGCCATTGTCACCATAATGAGTCAAACCAAAATGCTTCAAATAAGGATGTAATTCTCTATCAAAGGTAAAATGCAGACTATGTGAAAAGACATTGATAGGAGGAGGAATAAATGTTTGAAGTTTCCTTAATTACATGCATGGGTGGCTCATTTTCTTTTAAAAATGTGCTGCAGTTTATCACAACAAGGTGTACAGAGTGTTTGTTTTTAACAATACAGGATAAGTGCCTCAAATTACTCATAACCACTGTTCAGTGCCAACTAAAGCATTTCTAGTTACATTGTGTAATTTAAAGCAAAACTGGTGTGATCAATTTCCTGTCCCAGTTGTCGCCAATTTCTTTGAAGCTTAATGCTCATATTATTTAACATCAAAATGCAGGAAATTGAAAACAGTATTGTGATAAAGATGGAAAGTGTTTCTTTTTTAGAAAGTAAGATAAATCCATGAAATGTGTTAAGCTGCAGAATGGATTTAAAAGCCCCCCATCTTTTAAAAAAAGTTAGCAGATGTTGCTGCAACCTTGAATGTTTCATTTGGTGCACTAATTTCCCCAGACAATAAGCTGTATCTATGATGCAGAACTGTAGTCATTTACTTCTTTTCTTTTTATAAAACATGTACAATAATTCCCCTTGTCCTCATAGTTTACCAGATTTACATGGCTACAAATAAGTCACACTGTGTAATTTCCTCTTTTACTGTTTAATTAGTATGTTCCTGGACAAGTACAGCACAACAGACGGTTAGAATCTTCCGTTTCCTATCTGGGTAATGGAACTGATGGGAAAGCTTTAAAACTGCAAGGGTGCTACAGTAAACTATTTCTTAAATGCTTTTCAAGTGTGTTCACTGCAAACAGAAGGCAGATAAAGCAAACCATTGCTGTCTGGCTTGATCACATTCTGTTCTCCAGAAAGAAAATGTCCCACCAGTGAGATATAGCCCTGCACAAGTCCATGATGATTCTCCAATGTATTCATGTAACATTTCCAGTCCAAGATGTCCTTTTAGAAACAGGAGATTGCCATTGTGTGTGCAGAACAAAAACAGTACCTGTGGGACGGGGTAGGGCTTGTGCCTGCCAGTGTGGAGTTAATTCCAGCTAATTAGCATGCACAATGAGCTCATTAGGGATCCAGAGCTACAGAATAGAGCTGGCAGTCTGGAGCAGGGAGAGGAGCTGGAGCATGTCATGAATAGAGTATACAAGGGAACTGTCTCTTAGCTTGTGCTTTTGGGTTCCTGTATTTATTGCTGAAAATTACTGAGCCTTAATGTGCACACTTTGTGGTCCTGCCACAGACAGTAGCAGTTTTCGTACGCCTTTATTTCCTTTCAATATTTTTAATGCTGTAGTGTTTTACAGCTGTGAGGTGCTTTAGGGTTCCTGTGTCTCACTTCACACTGCCCAGTAGATATTAATGAGTTCTCCTGTCCAAGCCGTCTACTTGAAATAGTATTTTTAGCCTGCAGAAATCTGATTGAAAAATGAACTCAAATGAAATTAGTGCACCACTCTTGACTTTAGATATTCTAAGCCTGTGTCATTCAATTTTTCAACCCTCAAGCAGCAATAATAATTTATCCAGCCAAAACAAAATCGGTGTTTCACCTATTTAAGAAAGCAGTTGTCAGCTTTTCATTGTTATTGTTTCCAATGGAATGTGATGCTCTGCTAGCTAACTCCTGTGAAAAGACCAGTTTCTCTCATGTGTGCTTGAACTGCAAGTGCAGTTTTGATTAACCTAATTGCATCTACTGTAGATCCCTGTCCAAGCTACAACAAGCCAACAGTTTAGCATTAAAGAGACTGCATTATTTTTAGAAAATCACTTTCCTGGGCATGACCTAAATGCAAAAAAAAAGCAAGTACAGGAGTGCCAGAGAAATGAATTACCTCACTGTGAAATGACAGTCCTCCACTTTTATCAGAAATCCTCACCTCGATGTCTATGTTGAATGTCAATGCCTTATGTGGAGGTCAGTCAAAGCAGATAGGGGTGAGTACCAGAAAATAGCTAGAGATATGAAGAGCTGTAAATTAAGCTGACTTTGGCCTGGCTGCAAAAAGAAAATGTTTTTTTATTCTACATATAAATAGAAATATAATATTGCCAAAATTCTGACTTCTCCTTAAACCCTATTGGTACTGTATATAGCTTTCTGCTGCATATAAAGTACATAAATAAATACCTAGTGAGAACTACATGTTGCAGAAGTAACTCTTGAAGTAAGTAGCTTTCATACATTTCAGAAAAAAAGTTAATGATTTAAAGAAAAAAACATACAGTTCAAGGATCTGTGCTACTGAAACCACTCAAGGCCCAGTCTTAACAGTGTCCGACACGAATTAAAAGAACGAGAAATAAAAAATGCAGTATACTGTACCATGAATAAATCATTTACAGAAATGTTTGCAACTTGTAGAAATTCATACAAGGGAATACTTGTACCACCTATGAGTTACATGAAAAACATAGCCTTAGAATTTGATGTTTAGTCTATTTTATAAGTCATCTGACTTGTCACATTTATATAAGTTTAGGAAACAGTAAAAAAATAAAATAAGTATAACTCATGATATATATACATGATTCATTTATTTAGATATGGTGAGATTTACATCCTTTATTCAAACCCTGACCTTTTTTTAAGGAGTATGAATGTTTACTATGCAACATTTACATTTGGGCCCATGAGTGCATGAGAAATGTTTTCAGTGGAAAAGAGACCATTCAATCTATTCAGGTTTATCCCTTGCCTCTTGCTGTTAGCTGCTGAGCGGTGTCTGCTGTAATTAGGAATTAACACACTGTCCAGGACCTATACTGCTTGCAGGATAACTGCAGCTGTCCAGAGCCATGAGCAGATAAATCCTTCTTATTTACCAACCATTAAAACAATTAAATACCAAAACAAACCCAGAAATGACTGAAAGTGAATGAAATAGATTTAGAAAATTGGTTTAAATTGAATGCCACAACTGAAATTCATTTTAGTGATAAAGACTTTATACCTTTTTGAAAAAACTGAACAGGGATTTCTTCCTGCAAGTTTGTTTCGTGGTTGAGTATCCATTTCAGTGTCTGCGATACTAATTAAAGTTTCACCTTAGTTTGATAGTATTAGAAGTAAGGATATGGGATAAAGTGTTGCTTACACACTGCTTTATTACAGAAAATACTGTGTGCAATGACAAATGAACGCAGTTTGCAACTTTTATATTTGGTATGTAAGCATTTTGTGTTAAACAGGCTGTTTTCATGCTCATATTCAGTTTATCAATGAAAGACTGTGGAAGGTTGTTCTAAACAGCTGCTTTATGCTCCTGATAGGTTTGCATTTGCTGAATGCTCAGAATCATTGCTGTGAAAAGGTGGATACTTGCCCAGCGAGTCAGCGTACTTTCAGTTACCAATACTCTCGTCTTTGATACAGTCTCATACTTGAATGGATCCACTTTATTGTAGTTGCAATTCCTGACTAATGTAACTCTGTATTACTCATTACACTGATGCTGGCATTCAAGTAAATTGATTTTGATTGTCAAACAGCTCAAACGTACTATAGATTTGTCTATAAGGAGCAGTTTTCTTCTAGGTTTCGTCATGCCGATGTCTCATGTTTTAGTTCTTGTTTTGTTGCTTCTCAGGTTTAAGTGCAGCTCTGTGCACACTGAGGCCATTTTGGCCTAATATACATGTACAGAATGTATACAAGTAAGGTCGTTCACAGGATCTCCATTGGATTGTTGTGTGTCAAGCAGACAGCTTACTCTAAGGGAATTTACATCTCTTTTAGATAGCTTGGGTTTTCTTCCTCTATCCTCTATTCCTGTGTTGTCAACAGTACAGGTTCCCTGGAGCCATTGTGTTCACCACGATCTCTAAAATACTATTATTGACTGTATCTCTGTACTGTACAGTATACGTTGTGCTGTGTGCAGAATTAGTTTGGGTCTGGGGCAACTATTCACAGTGTGCCATGTGAGCATAACATTTAGGTAATATTTCATTTTTACACAAAAGATTATACTGTAGCATGTGTACTTCAGATACAGTGAAGAATAAGTGACTAAGATACAGTTCCTTTTTTTGGACTGTTAAATATTTTCAGTGTAAGATGTGGGAAATAAAGTAGTTATGAATACTGGTTAATTTGCAGCTTGCATCACTAAAATACATGTATTTTTTAAGCTAAGTTAAAATGTATTATGACTCCTCCTAGCATCAAACTATAGCATTACTATAATATGTTTGCTGTAATACACATGTTTTCATTATAATGTTTAATTTACTAAGTGTTACATCCTTAAGAGTGTGATTAAAGCAAAGGATGAAGTCATGGCCTCCCAAGTGGCTCATTCAGTCAAGAGTTGAGTTCATTGATCTGGGCGTCAGGTTGTTCCAGTCGTGTTAGAAGCCAGTTGAGACTGGAATTCTTGAGATGGTATTGCACCAGTTTGGCGCTGAGGGTAGGGTGGGAATACAGTAGTTGCCCAGGGCAGTCTCTCAGCAACCACAACACCCCCCCTCAGCGTGTCCTGGGGCTTATAAGCATGTTGTGCTGTGGGTGAGGGACATGCTTCTCCTCCAATCAACACTGAACCTCCAGTACACGGCTGTGGTGCCTCTGACATGTTAAAAGACAAGTGGCTTAAAAGTGGGTATGTTGGAGGAGACTGCCTACACTTCCTTGTTCTCTACTGTATGTGGTCACAGGGATCGTAGCCATGAGCTGAGACAAAAACACAAATGGCAATTCCAAAATCATGTAGGTTTTAACAAAAAACTTTTTTTAAAAAAAAAAGAAAGGTCTCTTTTTTCACAAATGTATTACTTTCCCATTTGTCACAAGATATTTCTTTCCTTTTCCTAGATATTGATGAATGTTCAACCCAGATGCACTACTGCCAAGCAAACACAGTATGTGTCAATCTCCCTGGGACTCATCGGTGTGACTGCCTTCCAGGATATGTCAGAGTTGATGACTTCTCTTGCACAGGTAGGGATTGTTTTCATGTTCAAATTGTTTCATGGAAACATCCTAATAATCGCACTGATGATTTATGATGAATAATGACAGGAGTAAAATATCATGGTAAATCAACCTCTTACTGTAAGTTTCCTTTGTTGAAAGAAAGCATGCCTTTACTGAAGAAGAGAAACTTTGAAGGGCTGAATTAGGTAAGCGTTCAGTGCTATATGCAGTATGACTTCCTTAACACAGCAGCCCAGCAGAAACTACTGTAAAAGGAAAGCGAGTCCTGTGCGGTGATAGAGCTGTGCTGCTGTTGGTTTGCTAGGCAGTGCACTACACAGTGATGCTGGTGTTGTCTAACACTCAACCCTTGTGGCACTCATCTAATTATGTGTGGTCTCTTAGGGAGTCCTAGTCGCAGTCAGCTAGTGACTGCTGTGACAGTTTTTGCATTATGTGTGGTGCTTGCATTGACTGAACTGCTGAGAAACCCAAACTTGATGCCCCTTTGAGCTTTGACAGAAGCTGAGAATATGAGATATACAATGGACAAACAGCAAATATTCACCATGAGCTTTTTCCCCCGGTACTAAAACTTGCTTGTTAGTGACCTGATGTTAAACAGTCAAGGTGGATACATTTATGCATTTCCTCCTAACCAAATAAATGAATTTTTCTTCCCAGCATATCATAGCATGCTATTCTTTTCTGCTGTTTCCAATTACTAAAAGATCTTAACAATTTAATACATTTGTGCAAGAGTAAAATAAAAATCAAAATAACATGAGTCTGTTAGTGACAAGTGAAAACAGGGAAAGCTAGTTACAAATTTTGTAAGGCTCGTTATGAACACAGAATATAATGAGCATAGATAGTTCCAATGTGATATAAAAGAACTGACACCCTGATTAGTATGATTCATTTTTATAATTTGTGTATTGTGAAGATGTGTGAATCCACTTTGTATGACAGTATTGTCTCTCTTTATAGTTGCTTCATAAAAATGTCAGCTGGATCCAGTCACCCATCCATTGAAATGTAATTTTAGTACCTCCTTGGGGAGAATCAAACAGCTTATTAGCATGCATTTTCCACCATGGAATACTAGGCAAACACATAACAGATTTGCTTAGGAGTCCTCTAAATTTTGCCGTTGGGTATAAACAAAAATTTATTTTAAAAATACAGACTCAAGCATCCAGTCTTGTTTTCTTTCTTTTCAATTCAATCTGTATATGCACATTAGAATGGAATGTAGTTGTATGCTATTGAGTACGTGCTCTTATTTTAGCCTTGAACTTTGAAAACAGTCAGTGGGGAAGTGCTAACACTATGAAAGTATTGAAAGCTGTAATATTTTATTTACATATTTATTTTATTTTATAAAAACACTTTAGAAATTAAGTACTGCTTAACCCAAGGCAGGCATACATTTGTTTCAGAATATCCAGTGCATTAATAACTTTATTAAATTCTCCTCACATATAGTGAATATCAAGTCTTCACGCCCTTATTGGAATTTCAACTTTTGTTGATGTAAAGGCTGAAATCAAGACACATCATATCAGACCTTTTTTTCCCACTTTTAAGATAGTGTAACCAGCGATATTTGAGTGAAAAACAAATGGATCATTCTTAGGATGGTTCGATATCAACAAAAGCTGAAATTTCAATAAGGGTGTGAAGACTTTTGATATCCATGTACTGTACAGTATATACAGATTCTCCAGTGGAACTGTAAAACCCAGAACTCCTGCGTCAGCTGATCCTAAACAGATGTAGGTGGTAAGGCTTGAGACCTTATTACATATTTTTGCACAGAACAAGTGGTTGATTAAGAATTGAAGTTAATTGCTATAGTATCAGTTAGACTGTTCTGTGAATATATTTTCATACTGAGGTTATGATGAACAGGTATAATATGTATTAAAGTCTTATTAAAGCCCGAGATACCATTCAGTGAGGCTTTCTCCGGAGATTATTATACTATGTAATTTTTAAATGCTAATGCAGGAAAACCAGAGCATGCTCACCTTTAAAAGATGGACTCTTCAAGAAATGAAGCTGAAACTCATTATGCTGTATGTTACCAAGCAAATGGCATGAGCTAGTCCTCAAGGAAGCATGGTTTACCAGATGTGAGGTAATTAGAATTCAGCAGAAAAAATATTAACCTTTTTGACTGGCTGAAAGATTTCAAAAACATTTCAGAAAAAAGTAATGAAGGAAACCAATTAAAAGCAATACATTTATTCTAAAAAATCTGATTGGCTGTATTTGAGAGGACAAGAGTATCATTAAGATGCTCTGTTGTTGTAGCTGTGCAAAACACAAACGGCAAAAAATTACCAGAAATTTGGAAAAAACATTCTGAAGTTTTCCATGAGAAATGGTCTACACCGCTGTTCTCTAAGATGTAGTGACCTTTCTTCTCAATGTATGCTAGCAACATTTAAATATTCAATCTTGTTGTATCAGATACAAAATATAGAGCGTTGCTTTCAGTGCATTTTGGGCAACAGTTTAACAATGCAATTGTTGTGCATAATTGAATATTGTTAATCCTAAATTAGAGCCTTCACTTGGCACATTTCCATGCACCTAGATGAGAGATATTTTACTTTTTGACTCTGCTATATGCACTTCTGATTTAAAAAAAAAAGACTTTCAAATTCAAAGAGCCTTCTTTTATAGTATGCCATAATATACAGTATGTTTAGAAACATATGAGTACCATTCATTTAAAACTGTTATTCTCTAATTCTTACCATTTGTTTTTATTAAACTGCTTTTATCAATGTCTTTTCAAGGTGTAAAGATCTCCATTTCATCTGAGCAAGCAGTAATAAAGATTCTGTGAAAATTAATTTTAGGCAGCAAGTCTCAATATTTACTTCATGCCGATACTCTGTGGATGTCAATTATTTTTCCCTTCAAAAATATCCAATCTCTGCTGTACAGGAAAGGGGAAATTTCATTATATAGTACAGTATAATTTTGCAGTATTCTGGATGATAGATATTTGGCTTACAGAAGTAACTGTGTTGTTATATAATGGTTGGTTTCATTTCTTACTGTACTTAAAAATACAGGATAATAGAGAGTTCTGTATTTCAGGGCAAGAAATGGTAGCTATTAAATGTTGTAGATGCAGATTCCAAAACCCCAAACAAGGCACATGATTTACACGTGGAATTATGTCTTTTAAAATAAAAGCACCGTGATCTTTGATGGGGTCAGTGTAGTGTAGGGGATCAAATCTCTGATCTCATAACTGGGGGGTCTTGGGTTTGAATCCTTGATGCAGACTCTTCTTGTAGCTTGAGCAAGTTTGGCTTACCCCAGTTGCTTGATCACAACATGTTGTAAAAATGGGGGCCAGCTGTGCTGGGGGGTAATCACTGTGATTACGATAATAATAATGTGATAATGTTGCTTTATTAGCCCTATACAATTTCTTGTATTCTTTTCGCATACCCCAGCTTGCTCTCCATGAGACACAGACACACAGACAGGGAGAGAAGCGTGGGGTCAGAGCGCAAGGTCAGCTATTGTACAGCACCATTGCAGCAGTTGGGGTTAAGGGCCTTGCTTAGGGGCCCAACAGAGTAGGATCCCTCTACCGGCTGTGGGATTTGAACCGGCAACCTTCTAGTCACAGGCACAGATCCTTAGCCACAGAGCCACTGCTCCTAAACACTGTGATGGGCCAGTGTCCCATAAAGGGGGGCAGGAGTCACTTGCTTTGTCATCCACTGAACACCATGAAAACCAGGATAAGCTCAGTGCATTTCTCGGATATGGAAATTACCTACTGTACCTACCATGAACTTTAAATGTAAAGGCTCATCTTGTTCTTTGTCGAATTCTCTGCAATGCTATACTTAAAATATGTACTTTATAGTTCAACACAGATCTGCAGATCCATTTATATGCTGAATATCAAAGAATGAAATCCCAGGAATCTTTTTAGTGGGTGAGCTGTTGCAGCTTGTGCCTAGCAACACTCGAAAGCTGTAGGTTATATTGCAGATCCAAAACTTGCCAATTTTTTTTCCCCTCTACTTTCAGTATTAGTGAAAAATCATTCCATGATAATAGGGAATGTCAGTCCCCATTACTTAAAGCAAATCTCTCATTTAATTGATATATAGTACTCATGTCTTTAAAACTGAGGTGCAAGTTTTCTCTAGTTAATTATAGCAAAATATCTCTGTGCTGCCATTATGCCAGGACATAGTATGCATGATAACATCCACAAGAAAATGTGTTCTCTGACAATCTAGTCTGGCATCAAACGTGCAGACACTGGTGTTGTCAGTTCTTGCAGCAAAAGAATAATGATCACAGAGTGAATTTGTACTCATTTCAGGTTGAAATCGAAAATGTTTGTCATTCTGTGACAGATTGAGGCTTGAGTTAAAAATCTGTTCCCTCAGTTCTAGTAATCACCTTTAATGTATAGCACATGAATATTGTTTTGTCAGAGGAAGTGATCAGAGAAAGGGTTGCCGGTGTCCAATTCAGGTCCTTGAGGTTATTTTTAAATAGAAAGTTGTGTCTCTAGCTAAGCAATTGTCGTTTCAGTGTGATTGTGTGTGGTTGAGTTTTTACTTCTTGTGGTTAGTTGGGGTGGTTAACAAGAACTTTCTTTCCATACAGGGTTGTTCTTGAGAGTGGAAAAGATCAATATGTCATTTTTCTTAAATGCCTTCTTGTTTCGTATGATGGATGTGTGCTTCCCACGTTGTGTAGAAAAAGTTTTTCTTTGTTCAGTTTTTCTGTCAGTGCTACATCTTAACCCTTTTATATCAGGGAAGTGTAGAATTGTTTATATGGCACAAATTTGACACCCTCCTTCAAATTGGATAAAGTAAAGACTTCCTGGTTTGTGTGGGTTTTGAAATAGAATCCACCGATTTCTAAAGCTGATATATGCATATCCTAAGAGCATCAGGTGTACTTCTTGTTTCTCTATTTTACAACAAGAGCATTAAAGCTAGAAAAGATAAAAATAATTAACA